CATCTTCTGGCTTCTATCACATCATCCTCTCCTGGTTTTTCTTCTACCCCAGGGGATGCTCTTTCTCAATCTCTCTCTTCCTCTATCAGAACAGTAAGGTTGGATGGTCCCAAGCTCAACCCTGGTCCTTTTCTTTATCTTATCTGTATACTACCCTAACTATAAAACCTCAGACACCATCTCTTCCCTAGGCCTCACACTGGCATCTCCAACTGGGACCTTGTGCCTGAGCTCTAGACCCACCCATTTGATTCACCAAACAACTCTACTTGATTGTCTTGGACAGATCATTCTTCTCAAACTAAACACGGCCGAAAACTACTGATCCCACCTTTTCCACAATAATACACCTCTTTCCCCTGTGTTGTTGTTGTTGTTGTTGTGTGCCATCAAGTCAAAATCAACTTATGGCTGACCCTCCAGTGGGTTTTCAGAGACCGGGAATGGCATAAGAAGAGAATGCCCATCTTTCTCCCATGGAGCAGCTGGAGAACGTGAACCTCTTGTCTTTGAATTGGCAATGCAACTCCTTACCTCTAGGCCACCAGAGCTCCCTTTACGTTATTGCTGTGTGCTCTCTGGCTCGCCCTCCGGCAAGTGTTCAGAGTCTGTAAGTCACAAGGGAGGAGACTGCCCATCTTTCTCCTGTGGAGCAGCTGGTGGATTCGAACTCTGTGTCCTAGGCTTGGCAGCACAACTCCCTACCACTAGGTCACAGAGTGCTGTCCCTCTGCATTATTACCTGGTTCCTCTTCTATCCCACTGGTGGCAGAAGAAAAAAACAAACAAAAACCCTTCTTCCCTGCAGTAGTCTCCATTTTGAAGAAACAGTTCCATCTTCTAAAACTTAGGCAAACCCCCCCCCAAGAGCCTTATTTAATTACTTTCCCTTCCCTCTCACATCTAGTCAGTAAGCACTGTCAAGTCCATTTCCAAAATGACTTCCAAACCCAACCACGTCTCACCATCTCTTCAGCTACCATCTTAGCAGTCGCAGTGGCCCAACTAGTCTACCGGGCCCTAGCCTTGCTTTCAGGGATGACTTTGCTAAAATGGAGGTTGGCTTTTGGGCACTGTCTGCACAGCACTCCCCGGAGTACCTCGGGGCAACAGGAAGCAGCGGTGCTATCAGAAGATGAAGGAGCAAGCCCCCTGACCACACAGGGAATGGTCCCTCTGGCTGAGAGGGCTCCACAGGGAGTGCAGGGCATGCAAATACCCTCAGAGGCGACTGCTTCTCCATTTGACGTCCTTGAGGCCTTCAACAATGCCAGAATAGAGCACGATAGGGCGGATACCACTAGAGAATCAGTTCTTTCTCCTCTGCCTTCTCCATGGACACCTGCGTGCATTCTCATCCAGGCCCGAGGCTTTTGGCACTGCTCGACCTGAGGCAGTTCTCTGGCCCTGGGAGTGCAGTGGGACCACACAAGAAGCAAGCCCCAGAAGGCAAGGGGCTCAAGCTCCAGATGCTAGCTTCCTTCAGGGAGGGATGGAAGTTGGTGATAAAGGTTCTTGCCCCTCATCCCTCAGTGGAACACTTTTGAGGGATGTGCTCAGTGTGTCCCACGCCGGGTTGAATCTCAGCTGTTCACAATGTTAACTGGCTCAGGACCTCACCACACACTGGGAGCAGCACAGGCTTTCCCTCCTCCTCTGCCTCCCTCTCCTACAGCTCACCTGTCTCAGGCTTTGCCCGAACTAAGAAACATCCCAGGGCCAGTTCTCACTCCTCACTCACTCACTCTGTCATCACATCGGTAAAGACTCAAAGCTCACCCTTCATTGAGTTCCCAAGGCTGTAAACTGCATGGAAGGAGACTGCTCGCCTTTCTCCCTTGGAGTTGATGGTGAATTCAAACTGCCAGCGAGATGGGGCCTTTGGGTTTGCAGTGCAGCTCTTTAAGGAATTATGCTGAGTGAACTATCTCAGCCAGAAAGGGAAAAATACTGCATAATGCCACCGTTGTAAAGTAGGACTGACATGGGGATTGGGGAAAATCTAAGAGAAAAGGGAATAAATAATATATACTGCATTGAAACAGATGAGAGAGAGAACTGTTTGAAAGGAATATATGATTAGGTATTATTTTCATGAGAAGAGTCCAGAATGAGAGCTGCATGGGGGAGTGGAGTGGGGAGGGAACTGTATAATAATGGAAGTTTTTGGATTTTCTTTTAAACCAACTGGGAGAAGGGTGAGCAGGGAGGAAACTGTGCAACAATGAATGAATGGAAACCCAAAGTCTCTATAAGCTTTCATTAAAATTTCAGTTAAAAAAAAAGGAATGGGTCACCAGAGCTCCCTAACTCCAAATACAGCAGCCCTATCGTTGGCCCAAGGTTTCCAAGGCAGTAAATCCTACGGACGTAGACTACTGCATCTTTCCTCTGAGAAGCTGCTGATGGATTCGAACTACAAATGTTTTTTTTAGTTCCCAACACTTAATCTGCTGCAACACCACTTTGTGCATTTCCTCCTGAAAATAATGTCTTTTGAGCTCTCTAACAAGAATGATGCTATCCTGAATATGTACAGGTAAGGTCTAGACACAGAGACACCATTCTCAATTAAGATTTTTACATCCATTTTAAGTCACCATTCTCAATAAGATTTTTACATCCATTTTAAGTCTATTCCTGGCTGTTATATGACCCTGTCAAACTGGGCTCCACAGCTTTTAAGGAGCAGACTGTAAGGCTTGTCTTCTGAGGAACTTGGAGGGGATCCCCACTGTCCCCCCTGCTGTTGTGATCTGGGTGGAAGTTTACAGAGCGAATTGGTTTTCCATTCAAGCACTCATACTCCTCTCACTTCTGCCTTGTCATTTTTGTTTCCATGAGCCCCTCTATCCAAGTCCTTCTTCCCTTGTAAGCTTTATCCCTGGATAAATGTCACCTCCCTGGTTATTCATCGGATTTGCCCATTTGGCGGAGTTTTGTTCTAGTTCTAAAGGGTGACTAAAGGTCTTGGAGATTCCACCAGTTTAGACCAGTTTTGGAATCTCTCTCTGTATTAAGTACCTATGGGAACACAGGAAAGACCCTTGTTTGTTTGTTTTTATTTTATTATATTTGCGTGCGTGTACTGTCAAATCAGATCTGACTGGTACAGGAGGAGATTGCCCCTCCTTACCCGGCAGAGCATCTGGTGGATTCGAACCATGCGCCTCTGGGATTGTAGTTGCAGCTCCTTGCCACTAGGCCACCAGAGCCTCCCAAGACCCTTGTTTTGTCAGCAGTTTACATTAAAAATAACTGAAAAGACTGTGGTCAAGTCAGAGTACACAATAGGCCACAGATGCCTCTAAAGAGGGGAAAAGAGGATATATTCTGCTTGAAGATGAATTGCAGTACAGCAAATCTAATTTAAGGAGCTGACACACACACACACACACACACACACACACACACACACACACACACGGAAAAGGGGAAAAGGCAGGCTCCACTCAAAAGTCTGTAAAACTTCCTTTCAGCTCTTTCAAAGAGCAATCACCACTCAGTTCAGCCACACCTCCCAGATCTCAGCTCTGCTGAAAGTGAAGGGCCCGTCTCTGCTGTGCGGTTGGGGTAAAAAGCAGGCAGGATTAAAGCGCTCACTTCAAGTCCCAAAAGTAAAATATGGATTGGCCTCGGGCAGGCCTAATTCTTTCCAGAACTCATCCCCGGAATTGCCCTTTTAAACAACCACTCATTAAACCAACTCCGGGTCTTTTATAGCTGCGAAAACTGATCGCGCACATCATTTATTCATTACGCTTATTGTTATTGTTATTGCAGAAAAGCGGCAAATTCCCGGGGCGGGGTTCAAACTGATGGGAGGAGGAGGAAGGGGTGGGACGCGCGCGACGGGGGGTGGGGCGACCTGCCGGGCTGGAAGGCCAGGTGCCCGGAAACCTTGGGGGACAGAGGCCGTCAATGTGCCCCCACCTCGTGCGCTCGAGGCCACCGCGCACGGGCGCAGCTGCTGCTGCAACTAGGGACGCTTCTTATATAAGCGGGAGCCGCTGACATCACCTTCGCCACGAGCGGCGCAGCCGGACCAAGCGCCCAGAGACGGGCGCACCGCCCAGGTCATGCCTCGGTGATTGGGGCAACGGTCCGCCGGAGAGCCAACCTGCGCGCCCCTTGGAGGGCAGATGGCACAGAATAGCCATTTGGAGGGAACCCTGGCTGTCGCAAGACTGAAGGGGCGGCAAAGGGGCCCCAGGAGTCTCCCAGACCTCCTCCCTCTCCCTCTTCCAGAGCCTGGCAGGACCAGTTCAGGTCACCGTCAGCCTTTGGCACCAGGACATCCGGGGGGGTCGTTTGCGAGGTCTTCTGACACAGATGGCACAGAAAGCCAGTTAATAGGAACCCTGGCCGCGCCAGGCAGCAGAGTCCCAAGGATCCCCACGCTCCCTCGGGCCCGTTCCCTGTTCCCGCAGTCCCAATAGGTTATTAGGGTTGCCGCGGAGCGCTTTGGAGTTCGCCCCAGAGATGAGCAGCGCCACGCTCTGTCGCACAGGCACATACGGCACAAGTTCGGGACTCGTCGCAGTCCCTGAGGTCACACCAAGAGTGACAAAAACCGCCAGGGCGTTTCAGAAGCCCCAGACTTGGGAGTCGCTCACACACACACACACACACACACACACACACACACGGATAGGGTCCACTAAACGACTCAAGAAGGCCTGCTGCAAATCGCTGGGGTAGACAGGGAGAGAGCTGGAGGGAGCGCCCCGAGGAGGCTGGCAGATCCTCTGCTCATGTGCCCATCAGCGCGCCCTTTGGGCCCCTTTCTGACTGCTGCTGCCTCCGAGTTCTCAAGCGGCCCTTCAACTTTCCCTGCTCCCCGCCTGCCTCCGCTTGGGCCTGGCCACCCAGCCAGGGGACGAGGTGGGAGGGAGAGGAAGGTGCAAGCTGTGGCGGGCGCGCCACCGCGGGGCTGGGATTGCGGCGGCCGGGGAGGGCGCGAGGGCGCGGCGCGGGCGGGCGGGGACGGTGGTACTCACGCACTGCCTCCTGCTTGGGGTCCAGCGTGCCGAGGACGCGCTGCACGCCGCCTAGCTTGCTGTGCAGCGCCCAGACGCGGCGGTGGGTCAGCTGGATGTCGCTCTCGAGCTCCTGGAAGAGGCTGCACGCGTGCCGGGCCACGTCCGAGAGCTGCCGGAGCACGCGGGCCAGCGCGGCGTTGCTGACGGCGCACAGGTCCAGCATGAGCAGCACCGCTGCCGCCGCCGAGGACGCCTC